TATTTTAGAACATTACAAGTTGTTCTAAAAATAATATTTTGAAGATAATTTATAAATGTGTAATTATATTCACACCACAATTTATATTTCTTACACCACATTTTAGTTGCATTTAAAGTTCTTAATCGTTGCTCATTATAACAATTATATCCATAACGGTTTTTTATGTCATTTTTATCCACACCTGATTACCGAAAATTATAATTTACATTCAAATTTCAACGTATGCTACACTGGAAGTAGTTTACATGGAAGTCAACTTGTAGCTTTCGGTTGCATTGTGCATGTCACAATTGACAGCATATATAATCTGAATTCGATTACAAGAATCGTTGATTACCACTATAATTTCAATTCGTTACCATATTCATTTTCAATATCTTATTTCAGTTCATTACGACATTTCTTTGACTCTGTACTACATTTCAACTAGCCAAGATTTTGAACGTGCATCCACAAACTCGATATCTCATTAGTATGTAAAGGCTTCACAAGATAGTCCACAGCTCCAAGTCTCAATCCCTTTAGCGTAACAGAAACCTGATCGTGATCCTCTGTTGTCAAGACTTTTGGAAAATGAAAAAACAGAAAATAGTTAATTTTCAAGTTTTTTCAATTATTTTTGCAAAAGATTAACTTGATTTTGGAAGAGAAACTTACTTATAAGTGGAATATTTTGCAAGTCTTCATTAGACATGATATACCTTAACAGATGTGCATCATTGGACATAATAAGATTAACCTCAGCAAGTATAATATCAGTACGAGGTCCTTCAGAGTTTAAGACATCAAAGATTTCTCTCTCTGACCACACTGCAGCTGCTGCAAAACATCAACAATAATTCAATAAAGGTTGAACCCCAATCTTGAGGGCCCCACCGCCCTGCCCCTAGAGCTTTGTGAGGGAAGTAAATCGTGGGATGTGCCCCAACAAGTCAGGGAACAAGAGCTGTCTGTACACTGTGTCTTCAATGAGTCCAATTTTATGTCTTAGGAATCGAACTCTCACACTACTGCTGCCAACAAGGCGTGAGATAACCTCATTCCTATCCTTTGCACCACAGGGCTATGCCCTGGAGGGCAACAATAATTCATTTCATATAGGTAACATCGACTATATGCCACCGGACAATATCAAGAAAGAAAAGGAGGTATGCTGCATGGTAGACGTGACCATAAAGCATTTTTCCCCCTCCTAAGAAGAAACATAGGAGAATGTGCACCAAATATTTTGTTTTAAGATATTCGTCTAAACTACGAAAGATTTTTCTTCGCGGGGTGTTTGCATTTACATCAAAATACACATTTTTGGCAAGTTGTATATTGTAAATAGAGTGAGGGTATTTTCGTAGTGAGGGGCAGACCAAAACTAAGGCGACTATAAAATGGAATTTATGTAGTCAACCCCAAATTTATTAGAATACGCCTTGCTGTTATAACAGTACTTGTCCTCACTTTCCCGGCACTAATATATATAGCACACACATCACTTACCACTGTAGCATTTTCGGGAGACAAGTAAAAAATCGAAAGAAGAACATAAAATTGCAATAGAAACATTATTACCCTTGTAAGAACATTGGCAAAGAAGGGCCAGTATTTGTTGACAACTTTCTGCATTGAAGTCGCACAGTAAAATTCTAACTTTGCTTCTGTCAATATGATGATGAACTTTGATGGTGGTGCCCGTCCCCTTGTCCATTTTGCTTGGAAAATTCAAATCCTTTTAGCGGAAAACTATGAACTGCCCTACAAATTTTATAATGTTTTGTATTCCCAACAACCCCACATGTATGTTGGGAAAATATCTTGATTAAATTCATATCCAGTCCGTCCAATAAATAGGTTGGTTTACCAAATTCTAAGGGCAAGCCTAA